TATATATATGTATACATATATATATTTCCAAGGTAGAGATAAAATATCTTCCCAAGTCCCAAGTATATATAAGATTTCTGTTAATTACAGTGAACTCGTATATTCTTTAGCTTATTTCCAAACATTCCAAAGCACTGTGCTATGCAAAAGACTACTTCACATGGTTTGCTTCATTGAAATCCTCAAAAAAAAAGTGCTGAGGGGGAAAGGAAGGCTCAGTTAAGAATCTTGTTCTAGTTCCTATATCTAACAAGGGGATTCCTGGAATTCAGGTCCAAACTGTTTAAACTATTCATTGACTAGTATTAGTAATTACTTCCTGTGTACCAGGCATTGACATTAACTGGCATCACTGATTACTTCTTGTGTACTAAGCATTGGTAGGGCAGTGCTGAAACAGATGGGATCCTAAATTCAGGAAGCTTAAAATCTAGAGGGGAATTCACACAGAAATCTTGGAAACATGTAATTAAGATTTATGATGAGCTTTAGGAACAGAGTCTATGGAAGCTATGGGAGCTGTCAGCAGGAGGACCTGTCTCACTGAGATTCACCCAGGCCAAAGCCTGTTTACTTCCATTTTCTGCCCCAATAAAATGAATGAAAAAGTCTTGCCTAATGCAGGTCTAGGGGAAGAAACAAATGAGTAAATAAATAACTACTGTGGCATGACAGGGAGGGGCCCTTTGTATTGCTGCAGAGCTTGAATTAATCAGAAAGCCATTGATCTCAGTTGTAAACCTTCTTAGTCCCTGTGACCCTCCCTTCTAAAACATCCAACTATAAAAATCGGTTTTGTTGTATGAACCCTTTCCATTATGATACTTATGTGGCGTTCTCAAAATACTGAAGTGCACAGACTTGCATTGAGTTCCTCCTTACCTCTTTCTAAAAGATGGTGGTGAATGAAAGGCTCTGGAGCTAGAGAGTTAAATGGAAATATGAGTGAGGCTTTAATTGCCTTCCTTTGATTCCAAAACTTTAAATGACAAAAAAATGGATACACAATCTATGTTCAAAGATTTGTGGTGAGACTTCCAGGAGGATGGCAGAGTGGTGAACAGCAGAGAAAAGGCCTCTCTGAGTTTTGGTGACAGACATTCAGCAATGTGAGGAAAAGGAGAAGAAGCAAAATGAGTCCCTAGGACCCAGAAAGAATCTGAAATGAGAACTGAAGCACATGAGGAGAGAAAAGAAAGAGACCTCAACACAGAAGAAGGAGGTGGCAAGCAACACTTTCTCCCTGAACCCTAACTCCCTGTGTCGGAAAGGTGGTTTGAACCTGCAGATGCAAAGTAACTACTGGTGACCCCAGAGGAAATGTCCTAGTAGAATGCAGCAGTGGACACAGCAG